GGGGATACTAAGCCACTGTATTGGGATAAAATTGATCAAGGTCTTCTTTGGGGAAAGAACTGGACATTTTACACAAGATCATTTCATAGAAGTATGAAGCAATTTTTATTTACTGCTTATCGATTAAAAATCATATACAAAACATTATTTCATGTTAACGACCGATTTTCCATTTAACTTTTAGATAAGAGTCAATTATGTCGTGGATTTAACTTCAAGAGAACTGATCCGAGTAACCAAACATTCGTGGTTTTTGGTTTAGACAGGAACGACCATTATTTTTATCATCTAGAAGACAAAAATTACTTATATAACGATGAAATAGAACAATTTCTCCATCCTCGTGATCAGGACACAATAAATAATCTTAAAAAGCTAATGAAACGTAAATTTTTATACTATACAGTAAAGGTCACAAGCAATACAGAGGGAATAGACCGACAAGCGAACGAAATTTCAGGGGTTGATGGACTGCTTGTACGTACAGTATATAATGCATTTAGTCCTTGGAATTATTTTTATCCTATACTGTATGAACCCTTAGCAATTCTTTCTCATAATCGTGGTCCTATGACGCCTCTGGAAAAAATTGCTAAATTTTATGGCAAATGGACGTTATCATCGCTAATCATCATCCTTATGATTACATTCGTGGTGGTATGGTTCTCAACAAAAAGACTTAGTTTAACAGGTTTCAATATTCTCAGACTCTTAATCAATGGTTCAATAATCACATCTTTTAACACGTGGCGATTGAAGTTGTTTTTTAGCATGATTTTTTTTTATTTCCTGATTATTCACGCAACATTTAGCGGTCATTTAGCTGAATTTCTGACTAAAGTTGAATATCGATCCAATATTGATACGCTCGAACAATTGAACGATCCTAATATCAAAAAAATTTATAATTTTGGTTATATCAAGCATGGAAACGAAGACTTGAAGTTTTTAACTCAAAAATTACAATATATCCACAAATCAGTAGAATGCGAAGACATAATAAATCAAACAAATTATGCTTGTATCGCACCAATGGTAGTACTCGAAGACACTCGTTCGAATCAACGTGCTTTTGACACTCTCTACATAAGCAAAAATACATTCGGACTTTCGTTTTTGGGTTACTCTTACAGACCAGGGTTTCTTTTGTGTGAAAATTTTAATTGGGCGTTTATGTTTTTATTTGAGGCTGGTGTTCTCTCACGTTGGAGAAGTTCGAAGCGTTTATTTACTTCGAGAGCGATTGCTAAACATGTTGTACGTAATTATGTGAACTACCGAGATATTGCTATTAAGGATCTCTACTTTGCATTCACTTTTTTATTGATTGGTCACTGTTTGGGATTTATTTGTTTTCTACTCGAAATTATTCTTAAAAATCAGTGCTATAAATTGAAATTCAAAACCATTAAAACATTTAATATTGTAAATATTGAAGTGCAACCTGGTCAAAACTGACAACAGCCTCTGTCAACTACTTTAAAATTAGCTCTACTGTTATTTCAATAATTGTTTGTGGCTTTTACATTATGGATTATTATACTATGCGCATCACGTTTGTCAATTTTTCATGCTCGCTATTACACTAATTGGAATTGTATTGAAGCTTTATCTGTAATATAAGTTAATAACGAACAATAAAATTTTACACATAACTGAAAAAACAGTAATCAATTATAATCAAAATTAAAATGTACTTTGAAATGTTAGAGAAGAAAATACAGATTAATACGAGTTCTTCGTGTAGTTATTTTATTTCCTAGAGTAAATGACAAGAAGCGAAAACAGTAAGTAAGCAAACAATTATCTTCATCACACACATTGTATCTGAAGCTATCATTAGGTTATTGAAAGAGTATTGTTTCGTACGATCATCTTTGTCTCGGAAAGATAATTTTCTGGTAGATAAAATAGTTTCTTTTATTCACGTTATGAGGAATATACTATTTCGAATATAATAACATATTACATTTTTAATCAAGCGAAATGTAAATTATGATATGTAATTGCTATGATAGTAAGTGTAATTGAAAAAAAAAAATTACATGACGTGAAGTATCACACATCTTGGTGACATAATATCAGTTTCAATCACATTACTTAAACGCACAAAACAGTAACATGTTATTTTCTCTTCATGATATATTTTAATGCATTTGATTGAGAATGAATTATTCAGTCTATTCATTATAGTTAATACTCTCAATTACCTCTTACAATACATTTTTATAATTATTTTTCTATATGGAAACAGCTACATTGTAAATATACTGTACATGGCATAAAATGTTAGCGTCATACTTATTCCAAGCATTATTAGAAGTATAGAGTTCAGCGATATTGTTTTTTCCATGTGTGTTGTTTTTTTAGAGTTTGAACTTTTGAACTCATTGAATTTTATTAATGATGGTGAAATACTGTATTATCCTTTTAATAATTAGTTGTCTATGGAATGCGAGAGCTAATACTAACAACGTTCTTCTTAAAACCTTGAATAACAGACCTAGAAGCAATTTATTACGTTCTTTATTGGTGAGCTTTGATCAGAATTGATTAATGTACTCATATACTTTAATATCACTGTGAATCTGAGTCTTCCAAAATGCATTATTTTAATGCGGATAAGTGTGTTAAATATGACGTCACTCATTTGATTAACATTGTAGTCACTTTTAATGCATGTTAAAGTGTGTAAAAAAAGACTACAATGTTAATCAAATGGTCAACGTCATATTTAACACACTTATCTGCATTGAAATAATGCATTTTGTAAAACTGAGATTTACAGTGATGTTATTGGCAATTCCAGAAAAATTTACTGGAAACATGTGATCTCGGCTCGAGGAAAATAATTATTTACGATAATTTTTATAATTCGGAAACTTTTGATGCTATTGCCGAACGTCAGTCGAATATTTCAGCGTCTCTTTTCACTGATAATTTGAAATGGAAAAAGATACGCCGATACCAATTTAATGATTTACGAGTTGATGCAGTTATAGTCTCCATCCGAGTAGACTCGGCAGGAATAGATATACAAAAACTTTTTACGGGATGGCGCTACAATCGAGACTGCATAGTGCATATCTTGCCAATTCCAATAAAGGATTGTGGGAGTTACAGAAATATTTGGAATTGATCATGAGATTCTATTTCCCTAAGGCATATTTCATTTGTTTTCAAGTACGAACTATGCATGTTTATACCCATGATCCTTACGGAGACACTCAGCCTCTATATTGGCATAAAATTGATCAAGGTCTTCTTTGGGGAAAGAACTGGACATTTTACACAAGATCATTTAGCATAAGTATTTATGAATTTTTACGAATTATTTATCAAAAATTATATACAAAAAATGTTTCCATGTTAACTCCTAATTTTCTTTTAACTTTTAGATATGAATAATTTATGTTATGGATTTAACTTTGAGAGAACCGATCCGAGTAACCAAAAATTCGTGGTTTTTGGTATAAACAGGAATAATCACAATTACAATCTTATAGAAGATAAGACCTGCTTATATGACGATAGAATAGTACAATTTTTGGACTTTCGTGATCGGGAAGTAATTGTTATTCTTGAGAAGCTAATAAAACGTAAATTTTTATATCTTACCATAAAGATGACGAACGATAAAAAAATTTTGAACAACGAACGTACGATTATTCCGGGGTTGATGGACTACTCATACGTATGGTGTTTGACGAGATCAGTTCCTGGAATTCTTTTTATCCTATACTGTATGAACCCTTAGCAATTCTTTCTCATAATCGTGGTCCTATGACGCCTCTGGAAAAAATTGCTAAATTTTATGGCAAATGGACGTTATCATCGCTTATTATCATTGTAATAATTGTACGATCAAACGAGCTCGCCGAAGGCGAGCGAAGTTCGATCGAAATTATATAAAGTCTCGTTCGAAAGGATTACAAACGTAGTATCGCCTTCGTACTACAACACAACCACACATTCAGAGATAGAAAAAGAGAGCCCTCTATGACTCTCTACCAGCTTCCGGGTAACTCTCATAATTTTTACAGATATGAAAAATAAATAAACTTGGGGTGGGACTTTTATATTATATTATATATAATTAAAACTTAAGGGGTTGGGATGTAATCCTTTCGAACGAGACTTTATATAATTTCGATCGAACTTCGCTCGCCTTCGGCGAGCTCGTTTGATCGTACAATTATAGTCGTCTCGTTCTCAGGATTACAAACGTAGATGTTTAGAGTCCTAATTTTTTGGGTAAAAAATTTTTTATTTATTTATTTTTCCAATTACATATTTTCTTACAGCATTACTTTACTTAGATTATAACTGAAGGCAGAGTATTTCAACTTAATAACTTATTATATTAGCTTGAAGACAAACTGTTTCAGCGAATATGCTTTTCGATACTTTAATTGGTCTATTGTAAAATCTTGCGAAAACCTCTGACGATTTCGTCCAACCAGCCGTTGACTTAATTGTGTTTATGTCAATTCCTTTTTTATATGCAGTTGATGTGGATGCATGTCGCGTTGAATATGCGGTAAATTCTTCTGGAACACCACTTTCTGTTAACACTGACTTAACCCAACGACTGATTGTTTGAGTAGACGCTTCTTTGTAAGGTTTCTTAAACGTGATTAGCAGTTTGTCAACATTATTTCTTAATGAATTAGTAGCCTCAATATATTTTTCTACTGTGCTTGCAATACATAGTTGAGGTTTGTCTTTAAAATAGGGTAAAAACAGCAATGGTTGATTTACACCTTTTTTAGATGTTTTTGTAAAATCTTCAATTTCTATTTCTAATCCTCCTTCTACTTTTTTGATTTTACTTACTTTAATTAGTGCCAACGTTTGTATTCTATGAGCAGTGCCTAATGCTAACAAGGTTGCTACTTTTAACGTTAACCTTGACAACTTTAAACTTTCCAAGGGAAACCAAGTTTCTAACACATCTAAGACTATCTTTGGATCCCAGGTTTTATCATACTTCGGCCTTAGAGGACGATTTCGATAGACACCTTTGAAAAATCTATTTAATAATAGACTAGATGATAGGCTTTTTTCTGATAATAGGGATATTGCTGCTCTCATTGAATTTAGGGAGCCATAAGCTGCTCCTGCTTGAAACTTGTGAGATAAAAATTCTAATAAATTATTTTCTGTGATATTATATGGATCTTGCTTCTTTTCTTCGCAAAATCCAAACCATTCTTTTATTGGACCAGCATATTGTTTTATTGTTCCTTCTGCAAGCGATAGTATTACAATCTCTACGGCTGATGACGGAAGTCCTCTTTTTTCGAACGCTGTCCGGATAGCTTGCCGACAATCAAAAACATTTTTTGATGCAAGGGATGATTTAATGATCTGCAAGGTGATAACAAAAGTTTTTTAGATGGTTTGAAAACGATAGGTTTTTCTACTAAAAGAGTCTCGAAAACTGGAAACCAAGCCTGAGTGGTCCAATAAGGAACTACTAATATACCCCGTGCTCTGTCAGATACAATTTTCTGAATGACCCTAGGAATCATAGCAAACGGAGGGAACGCATAGAAAAACCAGTTATGCCAGTTGATTGTCAACGCATCTACGATGAAACTTTCTGGGTCTTGAAACCAGGAACAGAAAACCTCGCATTTTTTATTAATTCTGTTCGCGAAAAGATCTATTTCCGGTGTGACCATATTTTCTAACTATTTTACGAAAATATTCGTTTCCAATCTCCCATTCAGTGTCGACATTGTTTTTTCTTGATTCTCGATCGGCATCTTCATTTTCTTGAGAGGGGATATACGATGCAAAGATCCAATTGTTTTTCTGTTCACACCACTGCCAAATTTCTCTAGCAAGAATATTTAAATTCTGATGTTGAATACCACCCATTCGATTTATGTAAGAGATTGCAGTCGTATTATCAACTCTCAAGAGAATGTTACAATTGTAAAGATCCGAAGCGAATGATTTTAAAGCAAAGAATATTGCAAGCAACTCTAAATAATTTATATGGTGTTTTTTTCTCTTCTACAGACCATGACCCGTGAGTACCAGTACCTTCACAATAAGCTCCCCAACCTGATAGAGAGGCGTCAGTAAAAATAACCCTTTTATAACTAGGTAATTTAAAGGAGTTTCTAGAGTTCATAATATTTATTTTCCACCATTCAAAATCCTCTCTCAAATGCTCTGGCAACCTCATGACGCAGTCATATTTACCATCATTCTTCAACAGCGACAGAAACTTCTCTCTCTCTAACTTCTTTGTATAGAGCCAACCATATTTTATTGCTGGACAAGCTGCCACTAAACTTCCAATAAGTTGAGCTAATAATCTGATTTTTACTTTTTCCTTATACATTATTTTTTGAATCTTTTCTAATAAATTATGTTTCTTTGACTCTGGCAATTCTAACGTCATACTACTTGAGTTTATCAAAAACCCTAAAACTTACACTCTCTATCAGGTATTAATTGACTTTTTCCCTTATTTACGATGAATCCTAAAGACTCAAGAAGCTGCACTGTTGACTCTACATTCTTTGTACATTCTTCATAAGTGTTTCCTACACACAAAATATCATCTAGATATGCAATTAATAGTGAACCCCTCTTTCGTGCAACATTAAGTGCAGATCTTAAAACCTTAGTAAAAATGAATGGGGCTGTGGATAAACCAAATGGTAAACAAACAAATTCGTACAGTTTATTTTCGAACCTAAATCTAAGATATTTTCTACTCTCCTGATGCATTGGTATAAGAAAGTATGCATCCTTTAAATCAATTACAGCCAAGTAGTCTCCCTGTGATATAAGTTTTGAAGCTATTTTTATATCTTCTAGCTTAAAATGACTAGTGTCTATGAATTCATTGAGATTTTTTAAGTTTATTATAAATCTCTTTGTTCCATCTGGTTTATCCACTAGAAAATAGGAAGATATAAACTGTCCTTGAATGTCAGAACAAAGTCTGACAGCTCCTACTTCCAATAACTTATTTACTGCTATTTTATAATTTGTCAAGTTATCCAACTTAATAAGGTTAGGACTCGCAGGTTCCTTAGACTGATAAGGAGTTTCTCTAAACTCGATCTTATAACCCTCTATATAACCTATGATAGTTTCATTGGCAGTGACCAGTTTCCACGACTCCAGAAAGGATCCTAACCTCCCAGCATGGTGGGTTACCTCTATTTGTGACGACGATCCGATGACCGGTGAGTTGTTTTGGTTCTGCTGTGAGAGCTCGCATATCTCGAGTCTCTCTTGGACGTCATTCTCTGAGTTTGGGGATTGTACATCTTCTGTCCCATCCTCGAATATCCCAGATTCTTCGAAGATGGGTTCTTCCAGTTTAAATGATTCTGTGATTTCGAGGGAAATTTTTTCATTATTTGCTTAGGCTTAAGTTCGGAAGCCGCCTTTTCAATTGTTTTCGTTGTTTGGATTTTTTCCGCTAATTTTTCACCAAACAGATATTTGTCGAGTTGACATCTTTCGAGAGCATCTTTCCTGGATTTTTCTAATCCTGGCAGAATAAATGCTCTTCTGTTAATAGCCATTTGATGATGAGTTTCAGCCATTAGCATCCCTGCGTCACTTACATATTCTAACAACAGATTCCTGTGCTCATCTTTAATGACCTTTTCCTTCAATATTAAGGAAATCCCCAGGCCTAGGGCTATCATAGCTGAACCTAATGATTTCTGTGTTTCGACAGCATGTTCATCTCGCTTCTTTGCCGCTGGTTGCATTATTACGGCGACTTCTTCATTCAGAATCTGGGGTTCTAACAGAACGTTTTCAGCTCGTGGATAAGCTGCAATGAGATTCTCCTTGATCTCTTTTTCAAGACCCTCTGGAATCCATGACGACCATCTCGCTGCAACTTCTGGGTGTATTGAAGCTATATTTGTATTTTTAAGTCTTGGGTCCTTTCCTAAAATATGTTGAGTCTCCTCATCTACCTCGGTTGATGAATCGACCTTCTCTGTTTCCGCCATATTTCTTTCCTCAGTGTCCATTAGCGTACCCTGTCGCGTGAGATTTGAATTATCTTGCGGTTCAGGGTGGGTCGGTAAGCTATCGGCTGGATTATTGATTAGCTGATCTCCAGTACCATTTCCCTCGCTTGCACTCTCTGCAACAAGCCATGTAGACCCCAAATTACACCTTGCCACTCGTGCAAGTATTACTCGAAATGAACAATCTGTCCCACCACTCGTGTGGGCACATTGTTTTGAATTTTCTATTGAAATTCTTGAGCGATCTGTCCCACCACTCGTGTGGGCACATCGTCATTAAGCAACCACTCTTCTTTTTACACTCACCTGAATTCGAAGATTGTTCGTTAGCAGAGTGGTTTTGCTCGCTTACTATTGTCCCTGTAATTTTATGTAAAAGCGATTCTAATCCTTTTAACTTCTTCCAAATCTTTTCCCGTTCTTCTCTTTCTTCCTCTCGCTCACGTTTTCTTTTACTTTTTCCCATTTTTTCCTCTTTTTTGATTAAAATTTCTTACTTGAATCTCTGAACGTGTGACCGTGCCGCGCACAAAAAACGTTATGAGAGTTACCCGGAAGCTGGTAGAGAGTCATAGAGGGCTCTCTTTTTCTATCTCTGAATGTGTGGTTGTGTTGTAGTACGAAGGCGATACTACGTTTGTAATCCTGAGAACGAGACGACTATAATTACATTTGTCGTGATGTGGTTCTCGACAAAAAGACTCAGTTTTGCAATTTTTAATGTTCTTAGGCTCTTAATTAATGTTACAATATTCACATCTTTTAATACGTGGCGATTGAAGTTATTTTTTAGTATGATTTTTTTGTATTTCTTTGTCATTCACGCAACATTTAGCGGTCATTTAGCTGAGTTTCTTACTAAAGTTGAATATCGATCCAATATTGATACGCTCGAACAATTGAACGATCCTAATATCAAAAAGATATATAGTTTCGGTTACCGCTATGTTGAAACTGAGGACTTGATGTTCTCAACTAAAAAATTAGAATATATCCGCAGATCAAAAGAATGCCAAAAGATAATAACTAAAACAAATCATGCTTGCATCGCACCAATGGTAGTACTCGAAGACACTCTTTCGAATCTTCATGCTTTTGACACTCTCTACATAAGCAAAAATACATTCGGACTTTCGTTTTTGGGTTACTCTTATAGACCAGGGTTTCCTTTGTGTGAAAAGTTTAATTGGGCGTTTATGTTTTTATTTGAGGCTGGTGTTCTCTCACGTTGGAGAAGTTCGAAGCGTTTATTTACTTCGAGAGCGATTGCTAAACATGTTGTACGTAATTATGTGAACTACCGAGATATTGCTATTAAGGATCTCTACTTTGCATTCACTTTTTTATTGATTGGTCACTGTATCGGATTTATTTGTTTTCTGTTTGAAATTACTTTCAAAAATCAGTGCAATAAGTTGAAACTCAAAACTACAAAAAAGCCTGATATTATGAATATTGAAGTGCATTCTGGTCAACACTGAATTAGTACATTACATATCAAGGGACGAAGCTAAGCCATACGAGCCGAAGGCAAGGGTGGCAAACACATGTTATAATGTAGCTTAATTGCTAAGTTGGGTACACACTGTTTTATCGAAGAGTGTCAAAAGTTAATGTTTCTTTCCAGTTTGTGATTTACCTCTCGCTGGGGAGATTGTTCGCTTATAAACCTCAGAACCAGGACAAAACTTGAACTTTCGGGAAGGTTATAGCCTATTAACCTAATAACATGTCATTTTTGCATCATAATATATTCTAATACCTTCGGTTAAGAATAAATAATGCAGTCGGTCTGCATATATACCTATAGGTATGAATCGAAAAAGTTGGATCTCTGATGGAAAGCGATATCACACCGAAAAGAACAGAGTGATTTTATCTGAATCAATGAATAATAGTAGCAAAGTGTAATAAGTGAGGTAAACATCAGATTCCTTACTGCAAAAAAACGCAGTTTTTATGAATGACATTTTAATGTTCAATAAACGTATAGATTTTTGTAAGAAATTATAAATAACAATGAAATTAATTGTTTTGTTATTAAATGGTGAGAATTAGATAATATTTACGGAAAAAATATATTGACCACCCACTAAGCGATCGTACTATCTTATCGCAGCTTCACTTAGCAGTATTTCTCTGCCTGAGTAAATTTTCTTGATAGCTCACACTTCAGTTTCTGGAAAAGCGTATCGTATTTTTGTCATTAAGCCACGTGATTAAAATTTTTTATGTATAGATGAGTAGGATAAAAAATAAATTATCATCAGCAAAAGGATTAAAGATGATGGTCACTGCAACTATTTGAAGATTTGTGGTCATCACATCCGTATGAATGAAGAATTCATTATTTGTATTTTATTTTTATAACATTTATTTATAAATATTACATCCTTGATATGAAATATACTATCTCCAATACAAGTGTATGCTACACTTTGTTTCGAGCAACATTGGAATTGTAATATGTCATTGCTATGATGGTAAATGTAAATAAAATGAAAATCCTTGATGCAAATATCACACATCTCAGAAATATAATATAATTTCTGTGTTGATCAGATTATTTCAATGCATAGGAAATTAATGTATTATTTTCTCTTCATAATATATTTTAATGCATTTGATTGAGAATAAATAATTCAGTCAGTTCACAATAATTTCTGCTTTCAGTTACCTCTTGAAATACATTTTTATAAATATTTTTCTACATGGAAACAGCGACATTGTAAATATATTGTACACGGAATAAAATATTAGTATCATTTATTCCAAGCACTATTAGAAGCATATAGTTAATTTATTCTTGCAAAAGTAACACACTCCTAGAATATCCGTGAATTCTAACTGAAACAAAACTAGCAACAAGTGTTTTGGTGTACTGCAATACAATCTATTAAAATAGTGATATCGTTTTTTCCTTGTGTATTGTTTTATTATAGTTTCGATTAAACTTCTGGACACTTAAACTCTTAGAATGTTATCAATGATAGTGAAATACTGTATTATTATTTTAATAATCAGTTGTCTATGGAAGACACAAGCTGAAGTTAACAATGTTCTTCTTAAAACTTCGAATAACGGACCTAGAAGTGGTTTAATATATTTTTTGCTGGTGAGCTTCGATTAGAATTGATTAGTGTACTCATGTACTTTAATATGTTATTTGCAATTCTAGAAAAATTTACTAGAAATATGTAATCTTGGCTCGAGGAAAATAATTATTTACGATAATTTTTATAATTTGGAAACTTTTAATGCTATTGCCGAACGTCAGCCGAATCTTTCAGCGTCACTTTTCACTGATAAAGAGAAATGGAAACAGATACATCGATACCAATTTGATGATTTACGAGTTGATGCAGTTATAGTCTTCATCCGAATAGACTCGGCTCGAATAGATATACAAAAACTTTTTACGGGATGGCGCTACAATCGAGACTGCATAGTGCATATCTTGCCAATTCCAATAAAGGATTGTGGGAGTTACAGAAATATTTTGGAATTGATCATGAGATTCTATTTTCCTAAGGCATATTTCATTTGTTTTCAAGTACGAACTATGCATGTTTATACCCATGATCCTTACGGAGACACTCAGCCTCTATATTGGCATAAAATTGATCAAGGTCTTCTTTGGGGAAAGAACTGGACATTTTACACTAGATCATGTTATAAAAGTAAAACATTTTTCTATATCGTTTCTATTGTAGAGAAGTAATAGACAAATACATGGTTTTTAGTTAACTACCAATTTGTTATTTAATTTTTAGATATGAGTAACTTATGTCGTGGATTTAACTTTGAGAGAACCGATCCAAGTAACCAAAAATTCGTGGTCTTCGGTGTGAACAGACACGATCACCGTGTTAATCACATAGAAGACAGAGACCAGTTATACGATGATAGAATATTAAAATTTCTGCAACATCATGATCAGGAGGCAATTGCTTATCTTGAAAAGCTAACGAAACGTAAATTTTCATACTATACAATAAAAGTAACGGACCATACCAAAGATATACAACGGCGAGCAATTAATGGTTCAGGAGTTGATGGACAAATTGCACGGATGGTGTTAAACGGTGCTAATTTTTGGAATTATTTTTACCCTGTATTGTATGAACCCTTAGCAATTCTTTCTCATAATCGTGGTCCTATGACACCTCTGGAAAAAATTGCTAAATTTTACGGTAAATGGACGTTATCATCGCTTATTATCATTGTAATAATTACATTTGTGGTGATGTGGTTCTCGACAAAAAGACTCAGTTTAGCAAGTTTTAATATTCTCAGACTCTTAATCAATGCTGAAATCGATGCACCGATGATGACGTGGCGATTGAAGTTGTTTTATAGCATGATTTTTTTATATTTTTTGGTCATTCACGCAACATTCAGTGGTCATTTAGCCGAGTTTCTTACTAAAGTTGAATATCGATCCAATATTGATACGCTCGAACAATTGAAGGATCCTAATATCAAAAAAATATATAATTTTGGTTATTTCAATCATGAAAGTGAAAATTTGAAGTTTTTAACTCAAAAATTACAATATATCCGCAAATCAGTAGAATGCCAAAAGATAAAAAATAAATCAAATTATGCTTGTCTCGCACCAATAGGAATCCTTGAGGATGCTCGTAGAAGGCTACATGCCTTCGGCACTCTTTACATAAGTAAAAATACATTTGGAATAACTTTTTTGGGTTACCCTTATAGATCAGGATTTCCTTTGCGTGAAAAGTTTAATTGGGCCTTTATTTTCTTATTCGACTCCGGTGTCATCACACGCAAAATAAGAGTGAAACAACTTACAGCTTGGAAAGCGATCACGCAACACGTGGTTCGTAACCATGCAAACTACCGATCTATTAAGATTAAAGATGTTAGCTTTGCATTCACTTTTTTATTGATTGGTCACTGTTTGGGATTTATTTGTTTTCTGTTTGAAATTACTTTCAAAAATCAGTGCAATAAGTTGAAACTCAAAACTACAAAAAAGCCTGATATTATGAATATTGAAGTGCATTCTGGTCAACACTGAATTAGTACATTACATATCAAGGGACGAAGCTAAGCCATACGAGCCGAAGGCAAGGGTGGCAAACACATGTTATAATGTAGCTTAATTGCTAAGTTGGGTACACACTGTTTTATCGAAGAGTGTCAAAAGTTAATGTTTCTTTCCAGTTTGTGCTTTTGGAAAAGTGACTTTCTTTCTCTTCTACGGAGAAAGACAACACGTGTGTGCGTATGTGCCCAGATGATTTTATTATCTTTCGCTCGGGAGATTGTTCGCTTGTAAACCTCAGAACCAGGACAAAACTTGAACTTCCGGGAAGGTTATAGCAAAAATCAAATTCAATAGTTCTGAACCACTTGGATGCCACAATTAAATTTAACAATTGAATCCACCTATTCTGCGAAAAGTTGTGTAATAGATATCTTATAGATATATTCATCTAGATATGTTGGAAAATATCTAAGAGATTAGATATGTTATGTCCTGTTTTTAGAAATCTTTAAGATATCTGAAGAAATATAGAAAGAACACTGCAAATCGAAGTGTTTGACTTTAATTTGCTTGAAGTGCATTAATTGTTGTAGTAGCTT